ATGAGATTTCAAATTATATGAGAAATGGTTATGTTAAATAAAGTGAAGAGACCAGATTATTATTTCAACAACAAGAAAGGGGAAAAAATGTGAATTTTAGTGTAATGTAGGCCTGTCAGCATTTTTAAAGGATTTGAAATTATCCCTCAAAGACTCTGGCTGACTTTTAGAGTGAACTCAGCTTCTGTAACAATGCCTACAACGTAGCCCTGAAGCCACTTACAAGTGTCAGCAAACAATTAAGGGAATGACAAAAATGCTGAGTCTCTGGAGATCAAACAGCGATCCGGTTTGTGGGAATCAGTACTATCCATTTTTCTCCTGAGAATAATTATGTGTATAAAGTACAGCAGGAAAGAGGGCCCAGCCCAGCCCTGGAGCCTCATCCTTTCCAGCTCATCCACTAAGACCTATTCTGTGGCCCTGCCAACACTGCACGGGTAAACTGGCCACTCACTCGACCCACTGGAATTGGCTTAGTTTACTGCTTTTGGTTGTTCTGCCTGACCTAGCTATTTCCTGCTCATCATTAACATTCAGCTCAACCATCACTCACCATTCTCCTGGGAAACTTCTCCAAGCCCTGTACCAGTCCATGCCTGTCTTGTTTTCCCAGAGCTCCCAGTGTTTCCTTGTACACAACACTTAGCACTGTGTACTATGTTCACTTGTTACTGTACCCAAACGGAGTTCTTTGAAGGAAAGGCACTTGATATCTCTTACTCAGGCCTAACATGGTGCTGAGTAAGCACTCAACAGATATGTGCTGAACTGAATGAGACCTCAAAGGGGCAGATTTAGTGCTCTGATATTGTTGCTAGGAGCCAGCGCCTCTTCCAGGCAACAGCTGCAAGCTCCTCCCCCCACTTGTCAGCTCTTCTGCAGGTGGTAGAAACGGAGCAGATGATGGGGCTATATTGCTACTGGTACTGCCAAGGGAGAAAAACAAAACAACTAAAGTAAAAACCAGTTTAAAAAAGAAAAAAAGCCTTGTGATTGTGCCAGCTCTAACACTCCATACTCTTCTCTTGCCAGCATTCAGGGTCTGCTGCTGAAGAGATGCCCCCTCCCACTTCTTTTAAGCGCTTCTTTCAGCAGGGGCAAGTATCTGGTTCCTTCGACTTCACAGACCATAATCCTACCCAGGAGAAAAAGAAAACATCCTTTGATCTTTAAGAGTAGATCTTCAGAGGCAACTCTAAGTATCAGAAAGTAGATACTCGATATGGCCCCAAAAAGAAATTATTTGATACATAGACAAGAAAATGAACAAATGAGTGAATGAAGGAAAGAAAATGTTTTATCATCACCACCATTTTAGAGTGGCCTGAAGCTTACTATATAGTCCACGCTGGCTTCAAACTCACAGCGATCCTTCTACCACAGCTTTCCAAGGGCTGGGATTACAGGCATAAGCTACCATGCTTAGCCTAATGATTTAACTGTAACAGCAGAAAGGCAAATCCTATGGAAGATAATGTACCTTAGTGGACCAACACACCAGAATTCTGACAAGCAGAAAGAGGGAAGAAAAAGACAAAAACCCAGGTTCTACATACATGAACTGCTCTTAATCCTCATCTTTAACAATAACCTTCCACAAACTTTGGAGTAAAACGGAATGAATGCATGGCAAGGATTCATGAAAATTAGAAGTCTGATTCTATCCAGCAGAGGGCACAAGTAGGTTGGAACCAGAGTGCGGATGCTATTCCCTCACTCTACCCCAAATCCTGACACCTTTACCTTCCAAGGAGCATTTTTCAAAAAAGGGGGCAGTTATATGACTATATCATATCTTTAGTCATCAAATAGTACTCTCCTTTTAAATGACAAAAAAATTTCAGTATTTCCTTAAGAGTAAATCCACACCATTTGTCCAGGCAGTAATCCAAGGCTTTACTTTCTTCAATTATACTACCTGAAGAACTACCCTTAGTTTAGGGAATCATGGTAACTTTTTTTTTTTAACATCCTGTATTCTCCCAATAGGGCACTTCCTGAAGTTTGTAAGGTACTATAAAATGATCTAAGGATTAAACGAATGTCTGAACTTTCAACTTTAAGAACCATAAAGGGTAGAGCTTCTATACTGGATATTGTTCATGGCGGCCTATTACAAACTGACCTCTTAAGAGACAGAGCCTTTTCTTGCTTGGGGGAGGGGGTGCTCATCCAGATTGGAAAATTCAGATAATAGAATAACAATGTTCAGTGTAGCTCTCTTGTAGCTATACGTCAGATTAGCAGAGTGACAAGCAGTGTGGTGGGTCTTCCGGCCACCACAGAGAAGCAGGGTTGTGACCTAGCTAACAGTCTGGTTCAGTAGTGCCATCACCATACGTGAAGCTAAAGGGAGCACAGAGCATATCATTTCTTCAAATAAATGAAATGTAACCTTAGTACGTTAAAACTTCAGTTTCCACTGGGTGGTGGTGGCGGCGACGCACGCCTTTAATCCCAGGACTTGGGAGGCAAAGGCAGGAGAATGTCTGTGAGTTCAAAGCCAGCCTGGCCTATAGAGTGACTTCCAGGACAGGCTCCAACACTACAACAGAGAAATCCTGCCTGGAAAAGCAAAAAACCCAAACAAACAAACAAAAGTTCAATTCTTTACAACTTCTTTAAATAAGAGACAAGCTAAAATAATTGATAACTAAACATGATAGTTTTTAAGCCCTGAAGCCAGTTTCCAAGGAAAAAGCATAACAATTATCCCAGTCAGGTGAACTGGGGGAAAAGAAGAAACAAGGCAACGGGATAACAGTGCTTAAACTGTGAGCTGAGCCTATAGTTAATCTGAAGGGAAAAAAACCAACAAAATCAAAATGAACACCCACCCAACCAGTAGATCAATTAACAATCTCTTAAGAATAATAAATAGGCCAAAGAAATGACAGATGTTAATGATACCAGACGTGATTGAAAGCTACCATTTACTACGTACCTACCAGCTGGCAAGCACTGCTGGGTACAGCATAAAATGATGTCATGCAGTCATGGATTCTATGAGGTCAATATTGCCTCTTAATGGATGAAGAGGTTCAGAGAAATGGCATAACTTACTTAAGGCTCACAAGTGCTGAGTGGCACAGGCTGGATTCAATCACAGGGCTGCATAACTCCAAAGCACAAGATCTTTCCACTTGCTGGATGCTGTACCTCAAGAATAAAAATACAACACCCAGCCCTAAAAATGTCTTTAAAACACTCAAAAATCAGCCTCACCTTGGTCCTCACACACTGGCTCAAGCTGGGGGTTAAGAGGACAGGGAATAGATTAAAAAACAAAACAGTGGTCATCTGAGGAAAGAGCGGGTGGAAACAGAACCAGGGCTGTCTTAAGGATGAGGCGTTCCTCCTCCTCTCTGCCCCGGCAGAAATCCGCCATATCCACACACCAGGAAAACATCTGTCAACCCATGACCTTCATCGCAAGACTGCAGACACCTTTGGTTTATCTGAAAACGCAGTGACTTTTGAAATCCGAACAGCAAGTAGTTCTAAACTATCTCTAACCAACTAACCATTCACCTTCATTGTTCTGTGTCACCGCCATTATTCAGTTTGCCACTACTTCTTTTTTTTTTCCTGTAACTTGCACTTCCCTACCTGCGTTCCCCCCCAAGCTGCAGACACTCAGGCACATCTAGGCCCCTCTCTCCCCAAGAGCAAGCTAATCTCTCCCACATCCTGATAGTTTGACCCACTCCATAGCTTTTCATACAAAAAAAAAAAAAAAAATCCCCACCCTCCTAATTCTAACCTTACCCATTCACCACTCCCAGCTCTTCGACTCATCTTCCTCTCACACCTCAGACTCTTTCGTGCCCCTCCAAATTCGGCCCCGGACCTCCAGACTCAATCCCCACCTCCATCTGCCTCCCCGCGCCCTTTTCCAGCCCCCATCCTCCTCTCTCTCGCCATCGGGGTTCCTCCAGCACCCTAGTCTCTCCATCTCTTTCCCGGGTTTGCGTCCTCAACCTTCACAACCCCCTTTCTTCAAGCCTCACCATCCCCAACTTCACGATCCCACAGCCTCAACTTGTTTCTTCCCGGCCCCCAAGCCCCACCCCTCCCCCTATTCCAATCCTAGCTCCTTCCCTCCGTGCACGCCTCAACCCCTTTTCTTCTGCCCCTTCCCCAGCATTCCCACCCAAGCCTCTCCCCAAGTCCACCCAAGCTGAATCCGTTCCCTCTCCCGCCCAGAACCCCAATTCTCCCACACACCCTCAGACTAACCCCACACACTGCTGACCCCACCCTCAAGCCCACCTCAGACACCCCTACATCTCCATCCTTCCACCTCTCCCTCGGAGAGCTCCACCTCGTCCCTAGGGCCTTCCCCTCCCCCAGCCCCTCACACTCTGCCCGCCCCCGTCCCCTTGCCCTGCCGGAGGCTCGGCGAGCGGCCCGGCCCGCGGCCGCCACCTACCTGTGCCCCTGCCCGGGGCAGCGAGCGGCAGCACCTCACAGGCAGCTCCTTCCTCCACAGCCCGGCTGACCGTGAAGCAGGCGGCTCGGCACCTAGGCCACAAAGCCCGTGAGGGTGGGACACACACAGAGGGTGGCAAGAGGGAGGGGCTGGGGGCGACCTGGCGCCGCGGGACCGCGGGACCAGCGGGGCGGGGGAGGCCTCGGCTGGGTAGGCGCGCGTGCGCGGGGCCGGCATGAAGGGCGTGGCCTATCTTGGAGTTGGGCGGGGCCGGAGTGGGGCGGGGCCGGGAGTGGGGTGGGACAGAGGCTCCGAGCAAGCTGGGTAGTAGCGGGGAAAGGGTGGAAGGGGCGGGGCTGAACGGCGCGCGTGCGTGCCCGCGCGGGGGCGTGTCCCCTGAGACTTCTGCGGGGCCCCCGAGGCGTCTCAGAGCCGGGTAAGGGTTGTCCCGAGGAAAGGCGCGCCGGCGAGGTGGCGCATCTGGGCGGATCCAGTGCCGGGAGGGGGCGGGGCGGGGCGGGGCTGCGCCGGGCGCGCGCCTGGGAACTCCGCCGAGGCGGGGGCGGGGCGGAGCCGGGCGCGGTGCGGCGGGCGGGCATCGCGAGCCCACAGTCCCTTCGCGGAGCTACCCGAGGCCCAGGCGTGCGGGTCTGCGCTGCGCGTTGGGCGGGCACGGCAGAGGTGGGAGTCTGGTGGCGTGGCGGGCGCGGGCGGAGGGATGCAGACGGGAATGGAGGGGTTGTGAGGGGATGCGCGGCAGGCAACCGCGTGAGGTGCGGCGACGTTGCTAGGAGAGGGCCTGGCCCCTTTCTGGCCTGGAGACCTAGGCCCCTCCCCAAGAACCTTTTAGTGACCTGAAATGATACTTTGACCCCTCAAAAGGAAGAAAAGTTACAAATCACAGTTAATATACCTAAATGTAAGACATCATCAGCATCGTCCAAACTCAAACTGTTACAAATTATATTTAAAGTCTATATGGGTGCATTTAGGCTATTTTAAATCCTTTGGGACTGGGGCTTGCGGAGGAGGTGAGAGGACTGTGTCTGGGCCCGCCACCCTGGGGGACAGAGGATGTCCGTTTTTAAAATTTACACAAGAGTTACCAGTGGGTGGTATAGGAAAGGATGTGGGGTGTGCCGATTTAAGAGCACCCAGAGCTAAGGGCGCTGGCCAACAAGATCAACTCAGGGCTTGGCCCAGAGGTTTTCTGAAAGAAGTACCAGAAATGGTCACGCTGTGTACAAGAGAAGTAAACAGATGGCCCTGGTGAAGGATAAGACACCCGGCTCCCTGATTGTAGAATACAGAAAGACGATACCCTAGCGCCTACCGTATACAAACAGAGAGTTCCCTAAGAGAATTCATGCTTCCTCAGATCAAGCATGTCCTCAAACATGCCTGCATCTTGAAGCTGTGGAAACATGTCTACTAATTGGCTTCATGGGCTAACTCTTTCTCATTAATTGCAACAAAAGCTTAGTGGAAACCCAATCTCTACCCCTTTCTTCCTCTCTAACAGAACAGATACTGATTGTTTTAGGAGGTACGGAATACATTATGTGATCGAGCACTTGTTTGCTCTTTCCATAGACGTCTGAGATCATTTAAGAATGAGGTAAGACAAGAAAACACTTGAAGAGTACACACTGTATCCCATTCATCTACTAATACATCAATGTGAGAACACTTCCCCAAATATTAACTCTTATTTATTTGAGAACAGCTCTCTTATAACCCAGGACTGCCTTATACTCACTTCCAGTCCTCCAGCCTTCACCTTCCCAGTATAGGTGACATCATCCCTTTCTTAAATGTGCTGATTCTCCCTTATCCGTTTTTATCCAAGTGAAATATACATACTACATTGACCTGTTTTGAGACATTCGTGTCAATTCATCTAGCAAAAGTAGGATTAGAAAGCACATCACAAATGTGTCATCTCTGGCAGAGGACGTGCATCTTTGGTAGATGCCTGCCCGGGGCACTGTAACTTTTTAAGACGTTCGTTCCTTTACCTTTTTATTACATTTATTTGTTTTTGTGGGGGGACATGCTCTGAACATTTTCTCTCCCCCAAACAGTATTGAACTTCATAATGCCCTTAAAAGGCTCTAGCTAGAACTGGATACAGTAGTCTAGATGTGAATCACACTGGTAGCACCCAGCTACTATTTGTGTGTCTATTATCAGTTTGACAAGAACCAAATGTCAGTTACAGATTGTATTAATCTTTGCTGGTATAGTGCCTTGGTACTTAGTACACGTGGGCCCCTTGCTGGTTGGTGGTCAAAGAATTTGATGGAATGTAGTGCCTCTTTAACTTCTTAACTATGTTTTGTTTTGTTGGGGTGCTGGAAATCAAACTTGGGGTCTCATGCTTGCCAGGCAGGCACTTTCCCATTGAGCTACACCCCCAGCCTAACTTTTAGTATAATCTAAAATAGCATTTTAAAATTTTACCTTTGGAACAGTGTTGTCTTGTGTTGATTTTGCTGTGGACCAAACCAGTTAAATTTTAATACAGCTAGATCAAGGGTCCAAAGGGTCAAACAGTATTTTAGGCCTTATAGTCTGACAATTTCCGCCGTACACAGACGTGTAAATGGGTGAGCGTGACCTTGTGCCAATGAAACTTTTTCTGGCTCGTTCTCCCCTCCTCACGGAACCCAGGGTCATGAACATGCCGAGCACCTGCTGTACAACTGAACTACACCTCTGTCCTTCCCCCGTTTCTTTCTGAGGGTCAGTTCTGTCATTCAGCATATAAGGTGGCATCTCAGCTTTGGGCTGTTTGCAGGGTTGATAAACACGCTTTTTATATCCTTAATTAACAAAGATGTTATCTAAAATATCTTTAATTAATCTTAATCCCATGGTGGGGGGGGGCCTTAGGATCTTCCTCTCTAGCTGGGTTCAGTTCCTAGCACTGTAAAAGATAAATTTTAAATTTAGGAAGTGTGAAATAGGATAATAATATAAATCTTCCACAAGTTTATTTTGTTTTACTAATAATTATTCTCCAAATATAGCTATTCAGAGAGTTATAAATAATTGTTGAAAGTACTGTCATTCAGCCCATATTTTCCTGGTCCAAAGTGTATCTTGAAAGTATCTGTTAAAAATTTTCAGAACAAACATGTTCCTAATTGATAGGAACTCTAAGAAATAAAAAAAAAAAAACTACTTTGGTGTAACTTGCTAGTTATTGTTATTATTGCCTGCAATTTTACTTGTGTCTACATTTTCAGTTCTTAATAAATTAAGAATTTTGTTTGTAATTAATATCTAGGTCCATCAACATATATGTAGGAATTCTCCATTTCTCTCCTCTTTATAGTAAGGATTAGCAATATTAATCCAGTACTAGTTCTCTGGTATCAATAGTTTGAAGGTCATGGTAAGTTTGGTCAAGAAAAATGCACACAGAAGTGTTAGAACATGACTTTCACAGTTTAACCACGGCTGTCAGCACTATTAATACTGGTTTATAAGCTATAATAGAAAGTGAACTTTATACTCATCTAAAAACTGAAAATAAATGAATTAAAAGTTATCAGTAATTAATATAACGCCTACAAGATGGCTCAGCTGGGAAAGTGCTTGGTACGTAAGCCTGGGCCATCTGCATTCAATACCCCAGAACTCACATTAAGGTAGAAGGAGAGAATGTCTTAAAGTTGTCCTGACTTTCACAGGCACCATAGAGCTCACACCCAGATAAACGTCATGTATGCACACTCATTAATAATAAATAAAATTATTTAAACATATTTAAAATATAAAAATTAATTCAAGAAGTTGTAGAAATCCTGAGTAGAACTATCAAATTTGAAATAATAAAAAGTTGCTGAACTATCAAATTTGAAAGAGTAAAAAGACTGCTCTAGAGCTGCTCTGGATGTTACACAGGCACACACCTGTGATTCTAGCAGTAGGCAGGCTGCAGCCAGAACACAGATTTGAGGCCAGCATTGTAAGCATAGTGAGAACTTGTCTCTATCAAACAAATGGCAGCAACAAAAACAGGCTCTACAAACACTTACCCAGGTATGGATCAAACACTGCCCTCCCCTGTTTGTGTGTGTGTATGTATGTGTGTGTTACCAAACCTTGACAATATGTTAGGCAAGTATTTTCCCACTAAATTGCTTCTCCATCCTCTAATAATCCCTACTTTGTATAAAATTGTTCCAATAGCTAGAGAAAGACCTTTCAGCTCCTTATTTCCTTCGAAATATCATCTTAATCCTAGGGCTATAAAACTGATTAAATGGAAAAAAGTTTCATAGCAAATCTCTGGATAAACATAATACTTCTTGGACATGTAGACTTTGGGTCGGGGGACGGGACCTGAGAATACTTAGCATTAGAAACATTTTACTTAATTTATCACATTAATCCCTTAAGAAAAGCCATATGGGCCAGGCGGTGGTGGCGCACGCCTTTAATCCCAGCACTTGGGAGGCAGAGTCAAGCGGATCTCTGTGAGTTCGAGGCCAGCCTAGTCTACAGAGTGAGTTCCAGGACAACCAGAGATATACAGAGAAACCCTGTCTTGAAACATCCCCCACCAAATAAAAGAGATAAAGAAAAGAAAAGCCATACGGAGGTCTGGCTGTTCTTCCAGAAGTCCTGAGTTAAGTTCAGTTCCCAGCAACCCCATCGTGGCTCACAACTATCTGTAATGGGATCTGATGTTCTCTTTTGACATGCAGGCATACATGCAAACAGAGTACTCATACCTAAAAAAATGCATAAATAGGTTTTTTAAAAAAAATTTAAAACACCATTTTAATAGTATGTATTTGACAGAATGCAATGCTTATTCATATTTAAAAGAAAAGCTTAACAAACTAGTAAAAAATTCTTACAATAATCTAATAAAATATCAGTGAATGTGGCATTTAGTGCTAAAATGTGGTAAATACCCATTGTTTGGCTAAGAATAAGAAATTTTGAGTATTTATTTATTTATTTATTTATTAATGAGACAGAGTTTCTCTGTGTAATAGCCCTGGCTGTCCTGAAACTCTCTCTATAGACCAGGCTGACCTCAAATTCACAGAGATCCACCTGCCTCTGCCTCCCAAGTGCTGGGATTAAAGGCGTGCAATACCACCGCCTGTCTAGTGTTATTTTTATAAAGATCCCCTTTACAGTAGCAGTAGAAACTATAGTGACCAACAGTTAAAAAAAATCTAAGATGAGGTAGAGAGATGTTAATAAAACTGTAATTTTTTTGACTTAAAAAGTCCTAAGTAAATGCATATATATCCTAGCTCTGTGACACTTATTCATAGAACCATGCTAATTCTCTTCAATTTAATCTATACATTTAACGGAATTGTTTCTATTAAGGTTCAAAGTATAGTACCAAACAAATTTTAAATATTAAATAGACTTAACCTTCCTAAATATTAAAATGCATACCTGTCATATAAATCAGGAAAATCAAACATGCAAGGTCAGTTTGTACTACATAGCAAGTTTAAAGCCAGCTCAGACTGCTTAAAAAGACTCTGCCTAAGAAGAAAGAAAGAATAAAAACAAAGCATACCATATTCTATCATTTGCTTTCAGTTTGTGTCTTTATTAAATTAGAGATGTCTTTTGAAAATATTATTTGATTTTTAAATTCAGTCTAATCTAATGTTTAATATACTAATGGTAAGTGGGGAAATAATGTGTTTTGTTTTACTCTGTGTTCTGGCCCTCTTTCAGTATAGTCAAGTATTTTTCTGGTATTGCATTTTTATCTTCTCTCTTAGCTTTTTTCTTAGCCTGTTTTGTATTTCTATGATAAATTACTTGAAGCTGGGTAATTTGTAAAGAAAATAAGTTTATTTAACACACCATTCTGGAGGGCAGAGAACATGCTAACATCTGCTTGGCTTGGGTGATGACCTCATAGGTGGTAGCATGTAGCGGGGAGAGAGAGATCACAAGGCAAGAGGAGGAAGACGAGAGCAGGGAGGGACCAGGCCTGTTCACATAAATGAATCCACTTCTATAAAACCCAACCTACTCTCTGAGGCTAGCATTAATAATCCCTCCAGGAGACCTATTGTGACCTGTTCACCTCCCAGTAGATTTCATCTCTTAAAGGTCCCACCGCCATACAATATATTTATAGTAGAGACTAGGACCAAACTTCCGGCATCTAAACCAGAGAAGCCTTCTTTCTTTATTTGTTGGTTTTATCATTATTAGTTACTATACAATCCTAGGATTATGACATGCATCCTTATCATCCTAGTGTGTCTGTCTGTCTCTGGTTTTTCAGTGCTGAGATCTAACCCAAGACTTGGTGCATGTGAGGCCAGTACTCCACCACTGAGCTGCATCCTCAGCCCCCTAGTCTGTTTTGAATTAATATTGTATTACTCATGTTCAGTGTTAAGAACTTTACTAACATGATCTGTAAGTACAATTTCATTACCTTCTTCTTGCTTTGTTTTATTTTTTATTTTTGGGAAATGTCTTGTATAGCCCAGATTGGTGTTCAGCTTGAGGATAAACTTGAGCTTCTGACCTTCCTACCTCCACTTCCTGAGTATTTGAATTATAGGCGTATGCCACCACCAGGCTTGTATTAGCTGCTTCTGCATCATCCCTACTTTCAGTTGCTATTACCTTTAGATCATTCAGTAGACTTGGGTTTTTTCTGTTGTTCTTGTTTTGATGCTGGGGATATCGGCCCAGGCCTCTTGTATATAAGGCAGGTACTCTATTACTAAGTCACACTTGCAGCCCAGGTCAGTAGTCATTTTGAGAAAATTTTAAGCTATTCTGTTAACAGTGTATTTATCATCTCTCATGTGTTTTATTCTTTTTCACATATGTAGATAGCCTAGAACCATTTACCGTAATGGTTAGTCTTGATTGATCTAACAATACCTCCATTAGTAAAGTATACCTCTGGAGGTGTCGGTGTTTCCTGAGGTGTGGTGTTGTGGTTTTTGCTCTGACTGCTTTTGGTTTTTTAGCTATTGACTAATGTGACTAAGTAGAATCGTCTTTTGTGTTTGTTCAACTTAAAGTTCAGAATTTCTTGGAGTTGTGAGTTTATATTTTAGATTTGATGAAAATTTTAGCCATATTTTCTTCATAATTTTTTCTTACATTAGTCTTTCTTTCTCCTAAGATACCAATTCCAATTGTGCATATTTCAGACTAGTTTGATTTTATTTTATAATTCTGATGCTCTGTTCACATGTTTTTTTAAGTTTTTTTTTTATGCGAATGGGTGTTCTGCTTGCATGTATGTCTGTATACCACATACATTTAGTGCCCTCAGAGGCCAGAAGAAGGCATCAGACCGTTTGGAACCCGAGTTCAGATGGTAGTTAGGCTGGGAACTGAACCTGGATCCTTTACAAGAGCAACAAGTGCTGGTAACCACTGATCCATCTCTCCAGCTCCCTACACTTGTGTGTGTGTGTTTTTAAAGATTTATTTTTGTTTATGCCTGTGTTTCTGTGTGTATGCTGTATGTGTATGAGTGCTTGTGGAGACCAGAAAAGAGTGTCAGATCCCCTGAGATGGAGGTAGAGATAGCTCTAAGCCATATGGGTGCTGGAAACTAAACTTGGATCCGCTGGAAAAGCAGCAAGTGCTTTAACTGCTGAGTATCTCTCTTTTTTATGTTAGGCAAGTACTTTGCCATTACATTACACCTTCAGCCCATATTTATGTTCACTGATCTTTTTTTTCTATTTATTTATTTATTGTGTGTTGGTTTGCGTGTGTATGCCGGTTCACACGTGGAAGTCAGGACAACTTGCAGAGTTGATTCCTCCTTCCACTGTGTGTTCTGGGATTAAAGCCACATCAGTGTGGCTGGAAGCATCTTTACTGACTGAGCCATCTTGCCAGTCTCGCTGATTTTTGCTTAATGCTAAATTCTATCTGATGTTAAGCCTAGCTAGCATTTTTTTTTAAAGCTTTAGATAACTGTATTTTTCAATTCCTGAGTTTCTGTGTTGTTTCTTTTGAGTTTTCATTTGTCTTGTAAAACTCACTTTCTGTTCATCCATTTTGTCCATGTTTTTTCTAAATTAACAGATTTATATATAGTTATTTTTGTATATTCTAATATGAATTAGCACATGGGTAACTCCAGCACTTGAATCATTGTAATGATATTTTGTTTGCAATCTAACAAGTAAAGCTGGCCTGAAGATCAGAGTGCAGAGCTAAGCCACTAGTTAGCCATAGAGGCCAGGCAGTGGTGGCAAACACCTTTAAACCCAGCACTCAGGAGGCAGAGGTAGACAGGTCTCTGAGTTTCAAGGTCACCCTAGGCTACACTAGATTGATCCAGTCTCAAAGAGAAACAGAGCTCGCACAAAGGTGATTCCAGAACTTTGGATCACTGTGCCTTTAATCCTAGCACTAGGGAGATGGAGACAGGAGTGATATGGCTGGGTGGAGAGAGGAATATAAGGCGGAAGGAGCTCAAAGATGCAATCTGAGGTTTCATAGAGATAGCATTCAGTCTGAAGATTCATGGAGATGGGATCTCGCCCTTTTATTCTGAGCATTGGTAGAGGTAAGAACTTTCTAGTGGCTGGCTGCTTTGCTTCTCTGAGCCCTTAACTTTCACCCCCTTGGATCTGACTCTGAGTTTTTATTATTAAGGACAATTAGAATTTTGTGCTACATTCATCTGTCGAGCTGCTTCTAATCTTACTTGATGCAGTTATCTCAGCAGAAGGTGGAGTAAATAGGTAGTCTCCCCCGGGAGAGTTCATGTCTTTCACACTTTTCCTTTGGGAGCTGGGGAAGAGACAAATCAATTCTGCTGGGTTAGACCACGTGGCAATTTTAAATGTTCAGTTTACTTCTGGTTTCAAATAACTAAGTAGTAAGTGTAACTTCTCCTTCATTGGGTTTGTCTCTTCTGTACCCCAAACCAAAGAAACCTTCCTTTGCTTTTCAGCTAGCACCAGTTTCCGGTGAAACTTCACAAGGGCTTGTTTCTTTGATCTCATCTCAGGTGACCTGCACGGGGGCTGTGCTGCAGCTGTACCTAACTGTACTCAACAGTGCCGCATATGACATTGATAAACTTCACAAACATAACGAGGGAAAGAAGCCAAGCAACGACAAGCCTGGACTAAGATTCCACTTACATGAAATTTAAACAGAATTAATTCACCGTGTTAGAAATAGCACCATTATTCTTTGTAGGGAGGAAGGAGAGGTAGGATCAGGAAGGGGTGAGGAAGACTTCTCACAAGCTCTAATACTTCCTTACCCTGATGTGTTTGCTTTGCAAAGCTTTGTTGAATATATGCTTATGATTCGGTCCCTTTTTTGTGCATGTTACAATTGGGTAGGCAACTCTTGTATCAAAAACAAAACCCAAGCCGTAAACCAATCATGGTGAAGCACATCTATAATCCTAGCACTTGGGAGGCTGAGGCAGGAAGATTACTGTAAATTCTAGGCCAGCCTGGACTACAGAGTGACCCAGTTTCAAAAACAAAAACCCCAAAGTAAATATTGTTTGATACTTGGATTGGTAAGGGTAGAGATACTCACAAAATACCTGTATTTATCCTCTAAATTTTAAAATTTCATAAATACAGCTAGATAACTACAGTAAAAAAAAATCACCCATTATTTATGTCACCATAGGTTGTTAACTATCTCTATATAATATATATAAAATTAACTGAGGGTTTTAATTTTAGAAGCAGAATCATGATGTCAGTTAAAAGCAGTCAAAGACATTTTGTGGAGTATAGAAGTGGGGATCATGGGGGCTGGAGAGATGGCTCAGCGGTTAAGAGCATTGCCTGCTCTTCCAAAGGTCCTGAGTTCAATTCCCGGCAACCACATGGTGGCTCACAACCATCTGTAAAGAGGTCTGGCGCCCTCTTCTGACCTTCAGGCATACAGACAGAATATTGTATACATAATAAATAAATAAATAAATATTAAAAAAAAAAAAAAGAAGTGGGGATCATGTTCTATAGGTCATCCCAGGAGAAGGCAAGAGTTTGCAACGCAAACATGTGCCAGCTCCTCCCACATTTCCAATAGCTTGGTTGTTAAACTGTGTGCCGGGCTACAGCCTTGCTTTCTCTTGTGTTGAGAGTCAAGAGTTTACTTTTTTATTACTGTATTTTTATCAAATTTTCAGGTTAAACACTTTGAGATGAGGAAGGTTGATCTCTGTTCGAGTACTGAGGGGACTGAAGTGATTCTGGCTACCTCAAGTGATGAGAAGCACCCACCTGAGAATATCATCGATGGGTAAGAGGGGCTCTTCCTTCTGTCCTGCTTCCAGGCTACGGTTAGATCAGGGAGCCCCTCGAGTACTGGGCCTATTTTATAACAACTGGCACTGTTAAGAAGTTTAATAATCATTTAGTGAGCTAGATGACTTCATAGTGTCTATTTGTGGAGTCATTCTTTGAACTAATTCAATTGTGAGTATTTAAGGTTTTAACCTCAATAATTCTTAGACTGACCTCTTTGGGCAGACAGGTTCAATTAATTTTTCAGTTTATTATCTTTCAATGCTGGAAATTAGACCCAGGGCCCTCTCAGAGTAGACAAGTACTCTACCATCCCTCCCAGAGTAGACAGGTACTCTACCACCATCCCTCCCAGAGTAGACAGATACTCTACTGTTGTGAGGAGCTGCGGGCCGCTTCCCTGCCACCCCAGCTCCCGGCCGCCAGCTAGCTCTAGCTTATGCCCCGAAATAATTACACGGAAACTGTATTCTTTTAAACACTGTCTGGCCCATAAGTTCCAGTTTCTTATTGGCTAGCTCTTACATATTAATCTAACCCATTTCTAATAATCTGTGTAGCCCACGAGGTGGCTTACCAGAGAAGATCTTAACCTGCGTCTGTCTGGAGTGGGAGAATCATGGCGACTCCTGACTCAGCTTCTTTCTCCCAGCATCCTGTTCTGTTTTCTCCGCCTACCTAAGGGTTGGCCTATCAAATGGGCCTAGGCAGTTTCTTTATTAGTAAGAAATCACTCCCACATCACTCTACCACCATCCATCCCAGAGTAGACAAGTACTCTACCACCATCCCTCCCAGAGTAGACAAGTACTCTACCACCATCCCTCCCAGAGTAGACAGGTACTCTACCACCCCTCCCAGAGTAGACAAGTACTCTACCATCATGCTCTTCCCTCAGCTGTTTTTCTATTTATTTGTGCTTTGGGTTTTCTAAGACAGGGTCTTACTGTATAACCTAGATTTGTCCCAAACTCAAAATCCTCCTGTCTTAGCCCCCAAAGCCCAGGATTAGAGTTGTTCTACCATTCGTAGTTTGCAAATAGGTGTGTATGTGTGCTTTAAATTTTATTCATTTTTATTTGAGGCATACTGATGTTATGCTTATATGTATGCATATGTACAACGTGTGTGCAATGCTCAGTGACAGAAGAGGGTGTCGGATCCCCGGAACTGGAGTTAGAGATGTAAGTTAGTGTGAGCAGCTATGTTGGTGCCAACAACTAAACCCAGATCCTCAGCAAGAGCAGCCAGTGCTCTTAACTGCTGAGCTATATCTTAGTCCATAAATAGATATTAAGAGTGGTTTACCAAGACAGCAACTTCATTCTATGGAAGAATAAATTTTAATATCTGGCTTTGGTTTAATTCCAAATTTTCTTGGAAATAGAACTATATAAACATTGTTACTTCCTATATACAGTCTGTTTGCTTACTGGTCTAAACAGCATCTTTGCTGAGCTAAATGCCTCACTTCTTGCCTTTCCTGCTATAGTCAGACTTTCTTGGCCCTCCAGCCACAAATAACAACTTAGAGACTTAATATTAATTATGGAAGCTTGTCCTTAGCTTAGGCTTTTTCCCAACTAGCTCTTAAAACTTAAATTAATGTTTATATTAATCTACATTCTGCCTTGTGCATACCTTTCTGCATTCTCCTATTTCCTCTCTGTGTCTCTCTGGCCTCTGCCTTGGTTTTTCCTTCTAGTTTCTCTCTGTGTGCCCAGAAGTCTCACCTATTCTCTCCTGCCTAACTATTGACTGTTTAGCTCTTTATTAAACCAATCAGAAGCCGCCTTAGGCAGAGACGCATCTTTACAGTGTACACAAGTATTCCAAAGCATCCTGCATTGTGTGCTTCATTCCAGGTTCCATTTGGGTAGGACTGAAGCTTATTCTGGCAGAGATAAGTGGTATCCTCAGAACTGTAACACCAAGAAAAAATGACTAATAGAAAACACACCCCTTTTATTTATTTATTTTAAAATTTTACTTTATATGTGGGTGCTTTGCCTGCACGTATGTTTGTGCATTGGATGTGTGCAGTGTGCCTGGAGAGGCCAGAAGAGGATGTCAGATCCCCTTGACTAGACTCACAGATCACTGTGAGCCACTTTGTGGGTGCTGGGTCTTCTAGGAGAATAGCCAGTACTCTTAATTGTTGAGACATCTCTCTAGTCTGAGAATACCTCTTTTAAATAGTTCTGGCTTATTACTCTTCTAAATCCTCTCAGTGTGTATACTTAACCACAATTTGACTGGTGAAATTATATTATTTTAGAGCTGAAAGGATCTTTTAGATTATCTTTATTTCAGACTTATAGTAAGACAGGTATACACATTAAACACTGGTTTTAATTATTGAAGCAGATCCAGTTGTAAGATGGAACTTTTATAAGTCTCCATAATATATTGTACTTGGACAAGACAAGATCTTTCCTCAGGTTCAGTTGCTGCTCCTTTCTAGCACCTTTTCCCTCAGGTGAGGTTACTTCATGTCTTTGCTAGGCTCCAGTAGCATTTGGTTTAAGTCCCTATTATGGAATTATGTGATTTGATTTTTTTTTTTTTGGTAATTGTTTATCTGTAATGTTAGTGTCATCTCTCGCAGTGAATTCTTGGAAATTAACCTGTATTTAGCTTATCTTTGATGCTACTGAGTCTTGAATTGCATGTTGACTAGTTTGTTGATTTAGAACAACAAATATTTGTTAAGGTTTACTAATGTTGGAAAGCTTGAGAGTGTAGTTTATTTACATGCACACATATGCTATGGGATAATGCTCTTGTATATTGTAAAGAATTGTCACTCATATTGGTTTAATAAAACACTGATTGGCCAGTAGCCAGGCAGGAAGTATAGGCGGGGCAACTAGAGGAAAGCAGAAGAGTCAGTCACCAGCCAGACACAGGACACAAGATGAGAATGTGTTACAAGGATTGGGTGTCAATTGTTACAAGGAGAGGGTCCCTTGTTTGTCCCAGCCACCTGGCTAGCTTACACCTGAAATAACCACACAGAAACTGTGGTTTCCCATTGGCTAATTCTTATTTCTTAATTTAACCCATTTCTATTAATCTGTGTATCGCCACATGACTGTGGCTTACCCGCAAGATTCTAACCAGAGTCTGTCTCAGGCAGAAGATACATGGCATCTCTCACTCTGCCCTTCTTCCCAGCATTCAGTTCTGTCTTCTCCACCTACCTAAGTTCTGCCCTATCAGGTCCAAAGCAGTTTCTTTATTCATTAACCAATGAAAGCAACACATAAACAGAAGAACCTCCTATGCCATTGATGCCACACTGAGTATGGTACCAAGCCACATGGCTAAACATAGATAAGAATTATGGGTTAATTTAAGATGTAAGAGCTAGTTACTAATAAGCCTGAGCCAATAGACCAAACAGTTTATAATTAATATAAGCCTCTGTGTGTTTCTTTGGGACTGAATTACTATGGAACCAGGTGGGACACAAACTTCTGTCTACTCACATATATAAATGTATACACACACATATATGTGACTGCAAATTTGTATAGGGTTTTACAATTTGAGAAGTGCTAAACTTATAAAAACCATTTTCAACAGGACATTGTATACCTATAATCTTATAATACTGGGAGACTGAGGCCGGAGAACTGTCTGGAATTCAAGGCTAGCCTGGACCATATAGTGAGACCCTGTCTCAAAAAAAGAGCTGAAGAAATGTCTCAGAGGTTAAGAGTGCTTGCTGCTCTTGAAGAGGACTAGAGTTTTGTTCTTAGCATACAGGGCGATGGATCACAACCTCCTGTCACACACATATACACATAAAGTAAATAAACCTTTTTTTTTTAAAAGAAAGTATTTTCATCCTCATTTTAAAGATAAGCAAAAGGATTACCAAAGGTAAAACAATTTGGTAAAAAAACACACAGATAAACAAATGAGAGAATCAACTAACACACTTGTCTTCTAACTCCCAACTAAAGGTTCTATATGATAACTCAAACCTAAAGCTTGAATCAAAAACTTAATGCCTGCCTTTGCCTTTTTCTCACAGTTTTCCTTTGTTTTTTATTTCCTGTGAAAGACAAATAATAGTGATTCGGATGACTCTGACGTGGTATAGAAAAATTAGTGTACATGTATACACAGGACTGCAGAAATTTGTCTTAAGTTGTTCATTCAGAATAGAGGTATAGATGGAAGTTTCTGTCCTGCCTGGTTCTGCAGCCGTTCAGTTCCAAAGAAACACACATAGGCTTTATATTAATTATAAACTGTTCGGCCTTTTAGCTCAGATTTATTATTAACTAGCTCTTACAACTTAAATTAACCCATAAATTTTGTCTATCTTTAGCAACGTGGCTTGATACCTTTTCTCCATGAGACATTCTCATCTTGCTTTCTGTGCATCTGGCTGGTGACTCTGTCTCTCTGCCTTTCCTCTTTCTTCCCAGAATTCTCTTAGTCTGGTCGCCCCACTGATACTTCCTGCCTGGCTACTGGCCAGTCAGCGTTTTATTAAACCAATATGAGTGACAAATCTTTACAGTGTATGAATAGAGCTCTTTCCAGAAACACCCCTCACTTTAATTAGAGATGGATAATTTTTCTAAGACAAGATCAGTTTATCAGCCATTTATTCCCCCCTCCTTTAAAGTCTTTAAAAAATATGTGTATGAGTGTTTGCCTGCATGTATGCATGTGTATCATGTGCATGTCTAGTGCCATGGAGGCCAGAAGAAAGCATCAGTTCCCCTGAAATTTGAGTTATAGGGCAGTCATGAGCCAGGAATTGAACCTAGTTCTCTAAGGAATCAGCCATTTCTCCAGCCCCAGAGATTTTTAATCTTATGTAGTTCTAGAAAACACAAACATGCTTTATATAGTAGATACTAAAAATGATTTTCTGCTCAGATTGTTTTATCTAAATGGAAATAGCTACAGTTACTTGGAGAAAGTGATGCTGTAAATGTATCCCTACAGTGAGGATTATCCTATGCCCCTGGT